ACAGTTTTCATTTGACTTTTTATTCGGATTTCAGGTACTTTCTGGTGCATTTTGACATGAATTGTTGCTTATTCTTTACATTTCGTGTTTCAGGTTAGAATGGGCATTTTTGAGCAAATGAGGAAAAAATTGGTTATTTGTGACCAGAAGTTAGCGGATCTCAGAAGTTAAGTGAGTTTCTGAAGCAGAATAAAGCACGATGAGGCTTGTTCCAAAGGAAAAGCACTAAGAATCGAAGAATCAAGCGAAGATGCAAGCAGAGTGGCAGTTCTGTAATTTCAGAACTTTTCAAGAGCTTCGCCGCGGCGAAGTACGCCAGACACGAACAAATCTGCTTCTTTCTTTGCCATGGTGAGAATTCTCTTCGCCGTGGCAATAGTCGTAAATCCCAGTTTTGTAAAACGCACAGTTTTACTTTGTGCGGGTTTTTCTGAGAAATTTGGGGCGAGTTATAAAAGGAATACTTAACCTTTTTGCCTAGGGTCGCCCAGGAAGTAGGGTTAGCCACTTTTTCATTGTTTTTGCTTAAGCTTGGAGGGATTTTAGCGATTAGGGGGGGAAGATTGGATTTTAACTGAAGGATTCATCGTTGGAAATTTCTTGTCCTCTCTCTTATTTTCCATATGTTGAACTTGGCTATTTTCGTTTTTCTTATTTGTATGTTAACTTAGCTATGAACTAACCCATTTTGGGTTAGGGTTTTGATTGTAATTTGGATTTCTAATGGGTTAAGTTATTGATCATGTTATGTTCATATGACTATGCTTTGATTGTGTGTTTACTCTGAGTTTTAAATTTTTTATGTATAACATGATGAGATTGAGAAATAATTCATGTAGGCTTCTTGGGTAATCACCATTATAGTATTGGATGCTAGAGATAGATTCAAGAATTAATAAAATCATTGTAGAATTCTTTTGCTTAATGAGTTTGGAATTGTTAACTTTCAATTGTTGGGTGCGGAAGGTTAAAAAGGAAAAATAGGAAAACATAGTCCGAGAAGGTATGTTTAACACCTTATGAGTTCGGTTTACAATCAATGCATATGAATGTGAATATAGTGTAATTTTTAGGTTTAACCCATAAAATCCGAATGAAGTCAAACCCTACCCTTTGACTTGAATTGATTACTATCCGTGATTTTCATCTTGCATTCGTAGATAACTTGAGTTTAAAATTTATTGTTAGTTTAATTAGAAATAACTCCTATCAATCCAAAGATTTTGGTTGCTCCAACTGGAAAACAGTAGAACACTTAGTGCTTAGCTAACAATCCTCGGGGGAACGATACTCACTCATCATTATATTACGTGGTGATTAGTATACTTGCTACTATTGCATGTTGTAGGAAACACACCATCAATATTGCAGTCGGTTGGCGTCGGCAAGCGAGGAGCATAGCCACACTGTCCCTTGTTTGAATGGCATTTTGTATGATACTCTTTTTGTACAAAGAATGTATATACATAATACAAGAAAATTTTTGGGCCCATTTACTTTTATGATTGTACATGTTATTTTATTATATACAGTAATTATTCAGTCATGGTGCAGTAGAAATCTGCAGTTTGAAAACAAACATGGTGTTTAAGGTCAATGGACATAGGCTTAAACCTTACTATGAAGGGTTCCAAGTTTGCAATATTGAGGAGTGGATTGAAGGAGTCGATACATGATAGTGTGACCATGCAGAGGTCGGGGTAACGACTTTAACCAAAGCTGCTGCTTGGGAGGCAACCCAGAATTCAGATTTGATTTTCTTTTCCTTTGAATTTAGTTTTTTTTTTATTTGCCATATTTTTTTTTTTGTTTTATTTGTTTTATGTGCCGTCTCTACATTTGGGTCTTACATTGGGGACAATGTAAGTTTTAGTGTGGGGGAGAAGTTAGGCTCTAGGTGTATGTTTGTTTTTAAAAAAAAAAAAAAAAATTGAGTTTTTGTTTTTAGGAAGGTTTATGCTTTAAGTCTGTCTTTGAATGTCTAGTGATGCATGAAATAGTAACTTGACTTTGTTATTGTGCATTCCTTGACTTAGGATGTTAGCAATATTTCATAAAATAGAGTTAATCAGATTTGAATCTTTGTAGTTTTGAAACAATATGTCTTGATAAGTTGTGCGAACTTGGTGACGAAGCATGATTGAGGAGTGTATACAACCCTTAAAAAAAAAAATTGAAAAAAGAAAAATTGTTTCTCTTAAGCTAGTCCTAGATTTGGTTTAAGTAAATAGAAGAAAAAAAAAAAAAAAAAAAAAGGTATGATGGGTTGAGATGGAGCGTAAAACGCACTCACTCTTAAAACACACCATGAAATGAGATGGAGCATAAAATGCACTCATTTTTTTCAAAACAGATAAAAAAATTTCCCTAGTTTGATACCCAGTTTGTAGTAGTAAAAGAAACAGTTGAGGAAAAAGTATAGTTGAGTTGTATATGAATTGGTTGTGATTAGTTTCCTTGTTCGCATTGACTGATTGAGAATAATTGTGGAAATTTGAAGAGAGATGAATGTCCTTAACCTCTACTTTATTTTATTTTGTTGCTTCCTAAGTAAGGTATGAATAGCATGGATTAAATATTGTTGCTTATGCATCATGATGGTGTCCTTGATATGACTTGAGCGTAGTTTTTTTAGGTTTTGAATTAGTTTGCCCGAGATTGCAAAAGCTAATGTGGGAGAATTTGATAAGTGTAATTTATATATTTTTATTCCTTCCATATTATATATTTTTTTTTAGGTTTATGCCTAGTTGAGTTGATTAGAGTTTATTTTGTAAGTTTGGCATATTTGGATAGACTTTATGAAATAATTGAGAAAATATTAGGAAATTCCAGATTTTTTGTTATTTTGACTAGTGCTGCATTTTTCAGGTTTTTCATGGAGTCATATTTCTTGATTGCAAAAGTGTTCTTCAGAAAAGTAAAGTAGACGAATCAAGCTTTCCAGGAAGGTATTATGGACAAGAATCCGAGTTCGTTTAGGGCATCATTAGTTGTTGTAAAACCGGACCTGGAATCCTATTAGCGGAAGGATTTCCTGGCTGAGTATTGAGTCTTCGAATGGGCCTAACTGGAGCCTCAGATATCGAAAGCAGGTGATTCAAAAGCCCAAATTCATCTACACATCTAGGACTACAACGTTTATGAGTGACCAATCCCAGAAAAGTTCTGGTGCAAGCTATCCTGGTGCAAGCTGGATTACGGATTCTGTTTTCCATATCTGATAAGGATTGACAGTTTTGGGAGTCTATCTTTTAGGAAAGGTCTAGGAAAGTAATTTCGGTTTTTCCTAGGGCAGAATTGAGGAAAAAAAATATGTTATTTATTTAGGAGTTGTTAGGTTAAAGAGGAGAAGAACGGTAATGGGGTTTTTCTTAGGTTTTAATCTTCTACGTCAAGATGTGCGGCTAATCTTTTTTCTTCAGTTCAAGGGGACTTTAAAGCCTGAATTCATGTCATTGGTGTAACTTAACTTCAGTAACATTTTTCTTAATCTCATTCTTATTGGAATTGTTTATGTTATTCTATTTTAATTGTTTATGATTTTTGTTTGGGTGATTTAGTAATGACCTGCTAAATTGTTTAATCGGAATTTTATCTGTTAGAATTAGGAATTGTGATACGTAATTATCCTATTTATATTCAATGAGTAACAAATGATGATAGATGATTACGGACAAGTTCTCAATCTATCACCTCGAATAACATAACCTAAGTTAAATAATCCGATCTTGCGTGATTGTTTCTTGGATTGATCTATTTTCCTAGTTCTTAAGGCTGCCATTGAATTAAACTTATAGAGCTTATTCTAGGTTGTTCAAAGGTTCGGATCTAATTGAAGAGCTTATTTCAGTAGTGACAATTAAGGGAAAATTCGGGTAACAGAGCTTGTTGTTTCCTAGGGTCAATAATTCCATAATAACGAGATTGAATAATGTTACGGTTAGTTCATATCCAATGCATGTTTAAATGGATCTTGAACCGAGAACTGGTTTTTTTTAATATGATATTTTCTACCATTGGAGTTTTTTTTTGTTTCACTTTAGATTGCATTGTCTACAACCCCTTTCTTTATTTTGTTGTCATGTTTACTGTTTAGGATTTTATTTTATATTATTATTGTTTTCGTTGTGGTTATTGGTTAGAATATAGGATTTAATCGAATCATTCCCTGTGGGATCGACCGTTGCTGACCCTATATGCAATTTAGTAGTTAGGTTAGTAAGGTTATTAATTTGGAGCATTCGACATGCTACCAACGGCCCAAAAAACAGAAAAAGGAACACCAGCAGCAACAAAAAGGCTCCAACAACTGTAGCAGATCAACCCATGAACAATAACACAAACCCTATAGTAGCAAACAAATGCCCCAACAGCAACAGCCCCCGCCCCAGCCGTAGCAACAAAAGCACCCCATGAGTAGTAGCGAAACCCCAACAACAACAACCTACACCACACCACATCTGCACAAACAAACCCAAGACCAGCAAACCATCCATAGCCAAAAAGAAACACCGCCTCACAACAAAACCATAGAATTACCCAAAGTGCCCAGCCCCAATCAACCACAACCCAAACTCCACTTGCCCAAACAACCAAACCAGCAACCAAAAAAGCCCCCAACAAACGGCCAAACCGCAGAACACCTCCCATATTACACACACCCCAAGCCCCAATGACCTCACCAACCATACTAACCCCCAAGACCCCTCCCAAACACGCTCCTCAGGTAGCAAAAAGACAAGGTTTTACAATCCTAAATACCAACAAGCTAGTCTCGCATAGGCCTAAAACAGCAGACCAGCAACACAAAAAGGGTAGGCCTTGTGATGAAGCAAAAAAATAGTCTGTACAACTATACACATGAAACAGCTATAAAAAAAGACCTGTTGCATATCAAAAAGGATTTTTCTACTCCTATAATATATTGTTCCTATATACAAGTCAAAAATTGTGATTGTTTGCAAGCAATTTTCCACATTGTTACTAATGATTGGCTACTATGCATCTCCAAGTGATGGCCTCAAACTTACTGACATGTCATTATAACCCTGGCCAATGAAAACACAAAAACATTAATTTTTTACCGCAAGACAAGGTTCTAGTTACAACAAAAACATCTTATAAAATAAAGGATTCTTACCTAACTTAAAACATAGACTCCTACATCACGATTGTGGAAGTTAATATCATTTACATCAGCTTGATTTGATGCTTTTGATTCTTTTTAACTCCCAACCTACAATTAAATATAAATGTAACATCTTCATAACATTTAGTAAAAGAGTTGTAGACATTAATAATGAAGAAGTTACATTCACTTGGTTAAGCAATTTCTTCCTTTTCCGAACAATTTGCTCGGCCTTGAATTGCTTTCTTTTGACTGGAGGTCGACCTTTAGAACAAACAGCCCGTGGAGTCATGATTTTATTGCTAACTTGTACAGAAGTGCAATCAACACTATCAAAGTTAATTTTCCTTTTACATGCAACGTAAACGCTTCTATCAATCCCCCCAACATTGTCATTCAACAATAATTTCTTCTTCATGTCACTTATCATTTGCATCACCATATTACAATCATCAACACTGGTTGATGCCAAGTCTGCCACCTCACTAAATGAATTAGACAATTGATCAAATCGTTCACCTTCAGCACTAGTTCTCAAACTATTAAAACTTACCCTAACTTTCGTGTGGCATCTGAATACATTTTTCCTCCAACACCTTAAAATGTACTGTTCAGGGATAAGAGAAATTTCGTTATGTATCAACATTGCAATTGCATGTCAACATAAAATCCCTTTAAACTCAAACAATCTATAATTGCAACAAACCTCAGAACAACGGTTCTCAGACCAAACCACAAATGGAACCTGACGGTATGTCTCTCCAACCATTACATCTTCCTTCACAACATATTCAATTTTGGACTCCATATCCTTCAAAGAATATATCTCACAGTGGAGCTTATCTGCAAGCTCTTTTTGAAACTCTTTGAATTTTGCAGTAGTGTAAGCCTCTTGAAATTGTTTCTCCATAGGATAAATGCTTATACAAGGGATCCATGATTTGATCGATTTGAAATCAGCCTCATTTTCTTTTTTGACTCTATCACGCACTGCATTCTCATATTGTTCTACAAATTGTTTTAATGTCGTTTTTGAATTTATGTACCCATCGAAAAAGGCATGCATACTTTCACTACATTGCGTAGTAGACATTCCCGCCCAAAAAGTATCTTTCACATGAGGACAATGGTTAGAGCCATTGGATTGTGTGACTGGCTTGTTGGCTTTTTCACATTTGAGGTTGATAGTAGGAGCTATCAACTGGTGTGGATTAAGTTTGTTGGCCTACCTAATCAGCTCATTTGGGCTTGTTCGCCAAAGCAAAGGTTTGAAATGGGTAGGATGGGATCTTGGTCCACTAGGAAAGTCAACGGGCTTCCCGAGTTAATAGTGAGGGCTATTAGCTTGAGTAAAATAGTGGGAGCATCGTTTAATAAAAGACCATATTAAACAATAATGAACTTTATATTAACTTTATCTTTTCTGCAATTGTAGATTCACCAAAATGAGCATTATGAACCTGCGACCGATAATCGAGAAAGAAAACAGGTTGGATGGATCCAATTTCTCAGACTGTTATCGTAATCTTCGGATTATACTCAAGTCAGAAAAGAAATTGTATATCCTTGAAAAGCCATACATGGCTGAGCCTGATCCTGATGCCACTTAGGAAGTAAAGGATACTTATCAAAAGTTCCTTGACGATGCTGATAGCGTACAATGCTTGATCTTAGCCTCGATGACACCTATGCTTCAAAAGCAGCATGAGAATATGGATGCTTCTTCCATTATTGTACACCTCAAGGAGCTTTACAAAACAAATGCTCGACATGAGAGGTACAAGTGTCGAAAGCACTGTTTAGGAGTCGTCTGACTGAGGGAGCCCAAGTTGGTCCTCATGTGCTTAAGATGATCGAGCACATAGAGAGGCTTGAGACTTTGGGATATGGCTTGGATGCAGAATTACAAATGGATTTAATTCTGCAATCCTTTCCAAACTCTTATGCTCCGTTCATAATGAATTTCAATATGAACACGATGGAGAAAACATTATCAGAACTTCTGAACATGCTGAGGACTGTAGAGCAGGACTTGAAAAAGTCCAAGCCTGTTTTACTGGTTGCTGCCAGTAAAGCAAAGGGTAACGGCAAGGGTAAGGCCAAGGCCAAACCCAAACCCAAACCCAAGCCCAAAGGACAGGTTGCTCTTAGGCCTGAGAGTGGCATAGGGAAGGGCAAAGTAGTCTACTTCTTTTGTGGCAAGCCTGGCCACTAGAGGAAACACTACAAGGCTTTCCTTGCAAGCAAGAAGAAGTCAGAGGCTACGACTTCAGGTATGTTTATGATTGAGATTAACTTCTCTCCCTCAACATCTTGGGTCATTGACACAGGATGTGGTACTCACATTTGTACTGATGTGCAGGGACTAAGGCAGAGTAGAGTGCTCACCAAGGGAGAGGTGGACCTACGAGTTGGAAATGGAGCATGTGGCTACATTGGCTATAGGGACTTATTGTCTATCTTTGCCTATGGGCTTATTGTTGGAACTGCATAGTTGTTATTACGTACTTTCTAGTTCTAGAAATATTATTTCAGTATCCGCTTTGGATAATATAGGGTATCATTTTGAGATATCTAATGGATTGTTGTCCCTTAGTTTGAATGGTATTCTATTTGGAATTGTAAGGTTATATAATAGATTATATGTTCTTGATTTAGACAATAAAGATATTCTCAATATTGAAACCAAGAAAGCTAAACATAGCGATCAAAACCAGACATACCTCTGGCACTATAGATTGGGTCATGTTAATAAGACCTGCATTGCAAAACTTCAAAGGGGGATGTGGCTTGGATGTAGAATTACAAGTGGATTTAATTATGCAATCCCTGCCTGACTCTTATGCTCCGTTCATAATGAATTTCAATATGAACACGATGGAGAAAACCCTGTATGAACTTTTGAACATGCTGAGGGCTACAGAGCAGGACATGAAGAAGTCCAAACCTGTTTTACTGGTTGATGCCAGACAAGCCTCTCTATGTGCTCAATCATCTTGAGCACATGAGGACCAACTTGGGCTCCCTCAGTCAGACGACTCCAAAACAGTGCTTTCGACACCTTGTACCTCTCATGTCAAGCATTTATCTCAAAAAGCTCCTTGAGTGTAGAATAATGGAAGTAGCGTCCATATTCTCATGTTGCTTCTATAGCATAGGTGTCATCGGTGCTAAGATCAAGCACTGAACGCTATCAGCATCATCAAGGAACTTTTGATAAGTATCCTTTACCTTCTGAGTGGCATCAGGATCAAGCTCAGCCATGTATGGCTTTTCAAGGATATACAATTTCTTTTCTGACTTGAGTATAATCCGAAGATTACGATACCAGTCAGAGAAATTGGATCCATCCAACCTGTTTTCTTTTTCGATTATCGGTCACAGGTTCATAATGCTCATTTTCATGAATCTACAATTGCAGAAAAGATAAAGTTATTATAAAGTTCATTATTGTTTAATATGGTCTTTTATTAAACGATGCTCTCACTATTTTACTCAAGTCAATAGCCCTCGCTATTAACTCGGGAAAGCCCGTTGGCTTTCCTAGTGGACTGAGATCCCATCCTGCCAATTTCAAACCTTCGCTTTGGCGAACAAGCCAAAATGAGTTGATTAGGTAGGCCAACAAACTTAATCCACACCAGTTGATAGCTCCGACTATCAACCTCAAATGTGAAAAAGCCAACAAGCCAATCACACAATTCAATGGCTCCAACCATTGTCCTCAAGTGTGATTCTCAGTATCAGTAGAGTGGACACTACATGTCACCACGTACACATAATATGTGTACTGCTCTACTATGCCTATGACGCGTTTATCAACCTTCGCTTTGGCGAACAAGCAAAACCGTCATTTTAAGTCGACCCATCACCATTAAGGAAAACTCCAATGTATTTTAACCTCCCACTGGTAGAAGTGTACCCTTCGCTTTGGCGAACAAGGTTTCGACGAACAGTGGTTTGATTAAAACCATGGTGATGGAAGGCTTACGTGACTTAATATAATTCAGTTGAGGGGTTTGTTATTTAATGTCTCATCAGATTATTATCTTTGTTAGAATGACATTGTTTGGCATGTTATCAAACATTCAACCTTAGCATGCATTCTAAACAAAAATTAAACGTGCCGGTACATGGCCCAACTAAAACCGATTTCCTCGAGCCTAGAGGAATCGGTGGGTCACCTAGGGGTCTTGTAATAAACATCTCGAGTCTTCAAGTATGGTTGCCTCGTTCTTTGCTACACCTTCAACTACATTACAAAACTTTTAAATTTACAAAAGAATAATAATACAAAATTCTTTACATCAATAAATTTAGAAACCTAGATTTACATTCGAGGGGAATTAGATGAGAAGAGAATGTACATCAAGAAAAAGGAGAAAGACAGGACACGCAGGCCTTATTTAATAAATTATACAACCGTACATACCCAAAAATATTTTAAACATTCACCCTTAGGTCTAAGGCTCATGTACCAGGCACCATACAATATACAAACCAGTACAAAGCATACATTTCAAAACCAATCAATTTTTGAAATTAGTGGGTTCATTCATTTACCCCCTAACAATTTGTAGATTTACAGTTTGGCCAAAAGTTTTGAAACTTTGCATTTTAGCCCCTGCACACTCGAAAGTGCGCTCGCTGCGGCGATGAGTTAGATCGCTACGGTGTGCGTTGGTTACTTGATGTTCACTCTTAACGTATGTTCGCCGCGGTGATATTCGCGGTGATTTGGTACAGTGCTCGTCTTAAGGACGATCGCCGCGGCGAGCGCTAGTTTCATACAGCGCTCGTCCAGAAGACGATCGCCACGGCGATGGTTTATATCGTCGTGGCTAGCGCTGGTTTCGTCACCAGCATGAGCATGAACAGCGCTCGCTGCGGCGATGGGTTATATCGCTGCGACGAGCGTACACAGATCTGTAGCTCCGGATATGTTCATATAGCAACCAAAAACACTCTAAACGGTTTTTGCAATCAACCAAACACATTGATCTCAACAAAAATCCATCAACCATTATTCCAAACATGCAGATCATCAACAAATTAAAAATTAATTGATTAATAAATTTCTTAAAACATGTTTTTTTAAGACAGATTTTAAGTAGATTCAATGTGGCAACATATCATCAATCAAACGCATGTTATCAACCATCCATTTAAAAATTGTAAAATTCAGTACCCTAGGCTCTGATACCATTGTTAGTAAACAGTCCCGTATACGCAGCGGAAACAAAAAAAAATATAATACAAGGATCGTTTACATGAGCCAAGATCAAGGGTATAATTTTACAATTCATATTAAAGTAAAATCTGCAAAAAAATAAATCAAAGAGTTTAAGAAAAAAAAACGCACATTGGAGGCTCCTCCACATTTGTCAACGAATGTTTTGCTACCGATCCAAGTGTAGGATCAAACCCACGTAATTCACATGAAGACAATCTCAAAAGAACCAAAGAGGGATTTGATAGATCCTCTTTGGCTTCAAGATTAAGAAGAAAGGAAATCAATTGAATCGATTTTTAGGCAAAAGGTGTTTCTGCCATGGGAGAGAAAGAGAGGGGCTGTGTGTGTTTTAATTTCAAAGAGAAATCAATTCCATTATTAATTAACACACACTTTTCTTTTTATAGTTAATCAAGTTGCCCTAATCCCATATGGAATAGGCTTGGGCTCCAACCCAAACGCCCTATGTTGCGAAACACTCCCAATTTGATATTTTTATTTTCAATCATTATCTTAATTAAAATCAATTAACATATATATATATTAACATTTAACAATAATGATAATATATATTTAAATATGTGCGAACACATATTTAAACGTAATTTCACTTATTTAATTTTTCTAACAAATTAAATAAAGGCTACGACCTCAACAAATTTAATTGCATTATAAAATTACCAAAATGCCCTTTCACCTTAAAAGACGAAAATGCCCTTCTTTCTTCTTGGATCTTAAATTATCTTCTATGTGTGTGACCCATAGGCTCCTCATCATATTGGTAGTGTATAGTATCGCGATTAACACCAATTAATCGTCTCACTAATACACAGACCAAGATTGGCCTCTAGCAAGACATC